GGGGGGGGGCAGATTGAGGCTCCCACGGTGAGGGAGTGAGTGGGACTGGGACAGGGCGTGGGACAGAGCCAGCGGTTCATCTAGAAGGGGTGCGGGGCAGTTCCTACAGCTGCGCGAACCCCCAGGGGAGGCATGGGGGCATGTGCCCTCCTGGATCTGTGTGCAGGGCAAGGGCAGGCTGCCTCAGCATGCTTGGGGCCAATGCCAGCCTCTTCCTGGCGGCTGTGATCAGGGCGGGGCAGGCAGTGGTGGCACTGGGAGGGTGGCTATGGGGGGGAGGGTGTCTGTGGTGAATTTTGGGGTGGCTCCCCTCCCAGTGCCACCCATCCCACCCTGTCCAGCTTGAGCACAGCCACTAGGAAGAGGCTGGAGCAGCCCTGGCCCCAAGCATGCAGTGGCAGACCACCCTTGCGCATGCACAGATTGGCGGGGAGGGCGGCACGTGCCCCCTATGCCTGCCCTGGGATTATGTACAGCTCCCCCCAGATGAGCTGTCAGCTCCATCTCGCACCCTGCCTCACCCCAGCTGTGCAACACCTGCCCCAGCCCCACTCCCTCCATTACCACAGGGGGCCTTGATCTCCACCCCCACCCCCCTCCTTCCCCTCAATAGACTTACCAGCTGGACACTGCTCTCCCAGCTGCCCAGCTGAACATCAGCAATCAGTAGGTATCAGGGGATACGGCTGGTCAATAATCAGCCCTTGGTATCTGCCCAGAAAATCTTTATTGGTGCACCCCTAGAGTTAATGATAGAACAAGAAATATATCTGGTTTGGTATTTGTTGTGACATGACAAAGGCACAAACTATTGTGAATAGAACCTGTAATGTTTTACTCCTGAACAAAATCCTTTCCTTTTGGAGCTCTAGAACAGGGGTTCCTAAACTGTGGTACACACACTCCTGGAGGGTATGCAAGATAAATTGTGTAATGGCAAATTTAATTTTCATTATAATAATAATAATGGGCATTTAAGGGGGTTAAAATATAAAATGTATGCTGATAGGGGTTTGTGGGCAGCTGGTAAATCTGAAAGTGGATCTGCAATAAGAAAAAGTTTGTGGACCTCTGCTCTAGAAGAAGCTCTATTAACTATTAAGGAGTAGTGAAGCTCATATTGTTCTAAGCTAGATACTAGAAAGCAACAAAATTGCACGTACAGGCCCATGCTACATTGATGGTGGTCCATGTGAGTTTGAGCAAGTGCTTTGTGTATTGCATTGTATTTCCCCAGACGTATAAACTATTGTACTGTTGTGAACGCAGAGCTGCATCAGACAGACAAACAGATGGAGCACTGTGTCATTTACTGGACAACAAATGGGATACCAATAGTGAATGCAACCAAAACAAACACAGGTTCCAAAAGCAGTTTGTTTGTAGAGCAAAATCATAGCAAAACATCTGCAATCGTTATCTTTTCTTTTCTTCTTAAGCTGCTTTGTTTTTTACCTAGCAGTTGATGGGCAGGCAATGTAAGGAAACACTTAAATCCAACCAAAGGATTATTTGATATTAATATTTGATAATTTTAAATATAAACATTTCTATATCAGACTGGGCTTTCCATTAATACTCTGCAAGGTGTCTTCAAGATGGGAAAGAGCCTGGTGTAACATTTAACTTTATAATGAGACAAAAACAGTATCTTTGTTTTTTTCTAAAATTGTTTATAGGAGAGTGAAGTCCTGGATTGGAACTTACTGAAACCAGATATTTATGCAACTATAATGGATTTCTTTGCCTCTGGCTTACCTGTAGTTACTGAAGAGGCACCTCGTACAGACACAGGTAAATGAAGAACTGGTAGGCCTTATGTGCTCGTAGATCCTTGGCTAATGGCTTTGGTTTATTACATTCAGACTCCATGAAATTGCCTTACAAAGCAGCATGTGAGAAAAGAATAACTCAACTACATTAAGGAACTGAGATGTGAGACATTTTGTGCCTACATTAAGAGGGTGTGCTGGTAGCCCATCTGTTGCCTTCAGTGGTTTCTTAAACCTGCTATCTAGGGAATTGCCTACAGCATCGCTTAAAATATCACTTTCTATTTAAGTGATGTAGGAACATTGTGGGTGATGTTTTTGTTTGACTGAAAAGATGTTTCTGAAACCTAAGATCTGTGATATTTAAGTCCTTGTGTGAGTGTCTGAAAGCCGAAGCCCATTTCTGCTTTCAAGTATCCTCAGAAGAAAGTTTGAATACATTCAAAAAGACAATACTAGGTTAAAAGCTTAAAGGCATCTAATTTCTTTCTCACATAACTATTTTACACTTACCAAGGACTTGTAAATATGTTTGTGATCCTTATGTGACCCACGCTGTAATTAGTAATAGCCATGTCAGTTGAATGAGGCTGACTTTTAAAATAATCCAAATGTTGTTTAAATTTCAGTTTTTTGATTTTCACTTTATCTGCTAGTAAAATAGACCCCTTCTAAACGTGAGATTCCAATGGTCTTGTTCCTTATTGTCTCTACTGTTTTTTCTTTTAATAGTCAAATTAACTTCATTATTTTAATCTGAAATAAAGAGGCCTTAAAATGTTTCTGTAAGGAAAACTAGCTGATTCATAAGTGTACTACGGTTGGAAGCCTTAATCTTGTATTTTTTTTCCCCTAGAGATGCTATTGGGAAGATGACTAAGGGGATTAGTCAGCCAGCCAAATAATGTCGGCTGTGATTTATTGTGAGGTGCTGAGACTATTTTTGCATCTCTGACATAAATATTTTTGAAGAGCTTGTGCACAGAAGCCCTGAGAAATCCTGCATGTTCCCTGCCCCTGTTGACTTTAACCCCATGGCTAATCCTGAAGAAAGTTACTTTGGGCCAGATGCAGGGGCCATGCAGATAAATTTGAGAGGGTCTAAGGTAGTATAACAAATGCTGTCAGGCTGTGGTTACCCAAAAGTGCTTATCCCATGCTGCTAGTTGCTTTTTTCCTACTTCCTCAACATCTGAGGCAGCACCAGTCCTATCTGTCAAAGCCTTTGTCCGTACTGTAAGAGCAGTGCACTGCCATGATTTCTGTCAGTGAGGATACCCAGGTGTAATGTACATGTTGTAATTTGAACCCATTTAGATTTAGCTCTGTCTTCAGCTTTCAGAATCACCTCTGTGTATTGTCAGTCTGCCTTATTCAGACTTTCGTCATGTAAACTGAATATCATTCTGGCATGTATTGTGAATCATAAGAAGGTTCTGTCAGTATTTTGATTTGCACATTTTCCCCCCTCAAGCTCCTTCGGAGGAAGATGACGAAGTTGTATTAATGATTAAGGAACTGCTGGATACTAGAATAAGGTAACTGTAAATGTTGCTGGTTTGAGTATTGTCACGTAGCAGATACCTTGGGTGACATTGGAGAGGTGCAGGACTGTGTGTATTTGGCATTACACAAGGTAACAAAGCAGTATGGGCCTTTTGGTGCTGGCCCAGTCTAAATGGTAAATAAAGATCTTTGCCTCTCTAGTACACATTCTGCACTATTTTTTCTTTCATATACATTTGCTTTATTTCTTCCTTCTTGCTTTTCTTTTTTGAGCTTCAGAACCATGTAAGACTTTGTCTAGAAAGGGGAGGTTAAACTCCACGTCATGTCAGACTGAGTGTGAGGAAAAAGTCATGGGCACAAGTCATTTGGTGGTCTGAGGTTCAGTGAATTTGTATCATTGCATTTTGCAGCTGGACCTGTGTTTTGACTCTCCTTGAATATAGAATCAGGTGATTAATAGTGCAGCCTTTAGAACAGGTATCAGACAGAGCGCGTGGTTTTTCTAGTGCATATTTTTAGGTTCTTTTACTGCCTCAACTGAAAAGAATAACAAAAATGTGGATGTGGAGAAGTGCTTAATGGATCTCAAAAGTCCTCTCCTAAAGGACAACAGCATCTCTCCCGAATCACAAGTCCCCAAAGTAGACACTCAATCATATCATATGGAGCTGATTGAATTTGTCCTGAAGATGTAGTCTCTCAGGTTTGTTTGTTTTTTTTAAATAATTTCTAAAAATATTCCTTTCATAAATATTTTTAAAATATTGGGAGGATATCACAGAGCTGAAAGAGTGACAGTTAACTCATCTCTTAAAAATGGGGAAGATAAGCAGAAAGGAATTGGAAGATTTTATCTGAATGTAAGGAATACATGCATCTTATATAATAATGGTTTGAAAGGCAGCATTAAATGAGTCCCAGTGTTGTCAAGTAGTCACTTAAAACCCTGCAGTATGGTAGCTTGAACATTCACAGGTACGTCTTTTATAATCGCCATAATCTCTTTTAAAATGTAGTCCTTTGTTCAAGAGGTGATTGAAGAGAACATTCACAGCAATATCTCTTACTGCTTGTGTCAGTATCATGACCGACGTTTCCAGGATCTGTGTGTAAGCCATTGGCATGTACAGAGTATTCATTGTTTACACTGAAAAATATACCCAAAGAAATTAAAAAGCCTAGGGGAAAGGGAAAAAAAAGAGATCTGAATTGTAGAGCAGCATGTTTTCAAATGACGGCAAACAAATTCTCAATCATACACATTATGTTTATTGGTTTTCAGGAACTGAGGTGGCTGATTGGGCCAAGTTGCTGATGTTAATACATAGGATTCATTCATGTGCTGTTCCATTAGGAATGTAGTTCTCAAAACAGTTATTCTGGAAATTAGTATAAAGAGCTTCTGTTCAAGCGACTCAATGATTTTTAGTTTGGCATCTCAAAAAGCATTGCTATGGGGACGCAGTTGTAACGTTGCTCATTCTTTGGTTGTGAAAAGAGACCAGGTTGGGAAAATATTACAGGTTGGGAATATTTTAGTAGTACTAGGTGTCCTGTAAAGTGCTGAGTTCCTCCTCATCTTGCTGGATTAGACTCTTAAGGCGTTTATAGATGTGCAGGAGTGGGGGTACTTTAATTAGAGCAGCTCTGAGAGCGCATCACATGTATCGGCATCCCTGCGCTGAAAAATGGCAGCAGGGGAGCTTTAACTAAAACTCATTGAACGAGTTTTAAAGCACCCCCATTGCCATTTTTCAGTGCAGAAACACTGATGCATGTGAGGCAGGAGTCCGCTGGATCATGGTAATTACCATGCTCCAGTAGACTCAGTTAGTCTGCTCTGGATTAATTGAGTCTGCTCTGGATTAATTCTGCTCTAATGCAGTGTAATTATAGCACGTCGGAGCAGCCTCTCTGCATGTGTACAGGTGCCCCTAAGTACTTTTGGGATTATCTTCCTTGCTGAATATATAAGAAACAACGTGTATTCAAAACTGTCCAGAACATGGGTCATTATTCCCTGTACTACTACCTTCAGTTTGCCACAAGCTGTAATGTAGAGAAGACATTTTTCAGAAAGAAATACTCTACAGTTTTTCAAAGACTGCCTTAATGTTATGCAGACAAACAGCTGTAGGGATGGTAACTAAAATCTATGCTGTTGGAGTGTCCTGAAAGGGATGATGGTTTATCATAGGATCTATCTGTGGTTTCATTGTCTTGGTAGCTAGTGTAGTATAATGAAATAGGATCCCTCAGTAGTTTTGCTGTTGTAAAATTCTAGGCATGCCATTTTCAAACCCCATAGGCATCTAGGTCTCTATATTCATATGACTTTGCCAATTACAAAGATGCTGCTCACTTACAACTGAACCTTGCTCTCTTCTTTTGCTAGGTGTTTGCCATTAACTTCTGCTTACTAGCAGAATGCAAGTCTGCAAACTTAGCATTGGGTTGGATGGCTTTGGGGTTATAGAGGCTTTTTCTTCCATGTCACTGGCCCAGAGCAAGAGTTGCCTAAAGCTGTTAGTATCAGATTACTCATTGTTGCTACATGAAGTGCATTGGTATGAATCTGAGACCAGCACCCAGAGAACAAGTGTCTTCATTGCTAGACGCATCAGAATTGCCAAATCTGCTCAGAGCATCCAAGGAACAAATGAGAATTGGAGACAGAAAGCTGATTTTTCCAGGTCAGCGAAGAGGTATGTTAGCCTGGCACAATAAGAGGAAGCTGGCACTGCCATTGTATTCTGTGTAGAGAGATAAAAAATTGGTTACGTGAGCTGTCAATCTTTTAGGAGCATTAAAAGAACTCTTAAACACTTCTAGAGCAAAAATTACTGATACAATTATTTTGTTTCCTCAGGCCAACAGTGCAGGAGGATGGCGGCGATGTCATATACAAAGGATTTGAAGATGGGATTGTGCAGCTAAAATTGCAGGGGTCGTGCACGAGCTGTCCTAGTTCTATCATAACGCTGAAGAACGGAATACAGAACATGCTACAGTTCTATATTCCTGAAGTAGAAGGTGTGGAACAGGTACTTGCAGACAGGAGAACAGAAGGGCTTTTAAAAAAAAAATTAAACTGAGGCAGTTTTACTTGACTAATTTAAATTACAATGTATGTCTATACTGCTATGATTAATGCAGAAATACCTGTAGTACTAGGTATATTAATAGCTACACCAAGTCATTTTCTGTCTCTCTCTAAATTTATGGAAGTAAAGTTTCACTTCCATGCAGCCTAGATGATTTTAAAATGTCTCCATGCGTTCTGCAAAACCCATCCAAGGAGAGAGAACAGAATCTGACTGGGACCACAAATCAACCTAGAATGGGAAGATTTTTACTAAATTACTGTATTGAGTAGAATGGAGAATAATTAAATTGAAACATGAGAACTCTGCCTTCTCTTGTATTGGCAAGGCAGTTCCAATTTGTGTTTGGATAAAATTAAAAAAAGCCTAATCCCTGTTTTCCCCCTTTAGGTAGAATTGCATCTCTTTTTTTTTTTTCTTCATTTGTGCATGTATTGTATAAAACCCACATTTGGTAATGTTTTTGGTCTGGTAACATTACGCATGAAGTTAATTTGTTTTCCTTTTCGATGACACAATTTTAAATTGTTTAGTTCTAGTCCCAAAAACATGATGATTGGATTTTAAAACTGGGACTCCCTGAGCTGTTTTGTTTTTGTTAGTTAATGTTAGCTTTGTATCTTAGGGGCTTTTTCCTCATAGGTTTTGTTTTTGTTTTTTTTTATAACTTGGCTTAGTATGTTTTAAAATAAGTCTTTGCCCCCCAAAAAGCAAATTCAGGTGCATCTGGTACAGTTTAGCAGTTGTTCTGATTGCTTTCATAACCACTTGGCCAGCCCCTTAGGATTACATGGGATTCTTTTTTTTTCAATCAAGTCTGCTCATGTCATTTTGATGGAAGTGGCTCGTCTTTTTCATGCGACCATCGCTGGTCAGTGATGTAGTGTGAAGGCAGCTCCTACTGATTCCTAAGAAGTAAGCTGTAAAATCAGGTTAATACAGTCTAGTGTGTCTGAATAACAGATGTAACCTCAAGCATTTCTTAGGGTTCTGTGTCATGCTAGAAGAGCAAAATTGGAAGTGTTCACCTCAGCAACTCTTGGGTTTTGGTTTCAGGTGGTTGATGATGATGAAGTGGAGAAAGGAGTGAACTCGACCTGAGTTGCAGCATCTTCCTTGTGGGAGTGTGTAAACTAGCCACGTTCCAAGGAGCAACAACATTTCTCATTCTCTTCTTTAGAAAATAATTGAACCTGGTCATTGAAAAAGTCTTCCATCATATAAAGATAATACTATGGCTGATCCAGTTACAAGGTCACTTTCAAAAGAGAGTATCTTTCTTCTTCTGTGGACTTTGTAACTGCCTTGTATGGTTTCTTAAGAAACAAATGAAAGGCATTTAAAAGGATTGTTTGTCTAGCTACTTCTGTTTCATACCAAAGTCTCAAGACTAAGGATGAAAATCAGTTTTGTTCTTTAGCATGTGCGTGTATACGTACACACACGATTGCCCTGCCTGCCTTATGGGTTTCAGAATGATCTGCAGTCTTAAGAGTCGGAGTTAAATATTACATATTATGAAGAAATTACTTGTTTCATTGTTCTTGATCACTGAATTCTGACTGCAGTTGAACCTAATAATCAAAGGTTTAATTACAGAAGACACAATATCGTTAAAACATAACAATATAGGTAAGTTTAGTGAGAGTTACTCACTTCTTCCCCAACACTACTCAAACAGCAGCAATTAACGCAAATATGATTAGTTATGGATCTGGACTATCTGCTAAGAAAATTATACCATTAAAAGATTTGATTAGAAACTGCTACTTTGAACCCTTGATATCTGGAGACCCTAATGCACTCCTCAATAACTAAAATTATCCAGCAGATACTAGCACACTGTTGAAACTTGCAGCAAATTCATTCTCCATATGTTTGAGCATCAAGACGATCACATTGTGCTTAGGACAAAAAACCGACATATGTAGTTTAGCAAAGAGAATAAGTGTGTTTACTTGTTCTGTATCCTGTTTATTCATTCTGCAGCTGATAGTATAATTTGGCTGCTCTGGGTGAGGAAAACCATGGCAGAACCAACCGTACTTCAGCTGGTTTGAGAAACACTGAGAGTATCAAAAAGGAAAATATTTATTGAGAACCCTGTGACTTGTGTTTGAACAGCAACACAGCCACCTATTATTTCTGTATGTAGTGGTGCATAACCTGTTCCCAGTACCCAGCCTGAGTTGGTGGTTTTGGCTGTTTGGAATACAGGCTCTTTTCTGTGTTCCCACAACCAAGCAGCTCCATGCTCAGTACTTGGGCTTCTTGTAACAGTTTACAGTCTTTATTCTCGCCACAAGCAGGAGTTCATTGCCTGTTGAACCTTTCTTCCCTCTCAGAGAGCTGTAGCCTTACAGGAAGCTTTCACTGAGCAGGGAATGTGTACCCCTCGCCCAACTCTGAAATTCTGTCTTTTTATTGCTTAGTTTGCAGAAGAACTAGAGGAGATTTGTTGCAAGCAGAGCTCCCTTGGGAGGACAGGGTTTGGGGCAGACCCGAGGAAAGTGATCTTGAATGTTCATTATCCAGGAGCTGGTTTCTTTAGAAAAAATGCACATCTGATTTTTACTAATCCAGTTTTTTTCAGAAACTAAGCATGTTCCTATGTAGTGTTGAATGTCCAGGAGGACATCTTAAGTATATGGTGATACTGAGGACCAAATCTCCACTGGTGTAACTGCAGAGTCGCTAAAACCCTGTGAATTAAACCATCAGGAATATGGCCCATAGTACACAAAAGCAGTGTGTGGTACAATGGACTTCATAATTTGTTCAGCTGTTGATAAATATTTAACAGAACAGCTATTTGACTTCCCCAGTAATAGTAGTGTTTTATAACTCAGACAGGATTTTGAGACTGGAATTATGCCATCTTTTTTCCCCTGACCCATTTAGTAAACAGCACCTGATCTTGATGATGTATTTATGACAAAAGTATCCTTATGGCAGATCCATCTGCTTTACCAGGGATCAGCTTGTGTGCACAGTAATACTTTCAGTCTCAAAATGGCTGCTTGCGTTCAGGTATGTGAAAAATGGACTTTTTTGGGGGCTTAATTTGCAATTTTGTGTCCACCTCTATAAACTTTGAAATACTCTGATGCTAAGCAGCAGCTGTGTTGCTGTGAGTTAAATAAAATGTGTGGCCTCTGTGTTTTGGGTGTTACAGTCAATATTTTTCAATTTAGTTAGGCAATATTAACCTAATTCATTTACAAGAAGGTTTCAGTTTTCCTTTGCTGTGAACATATCAGTATTGACTACTGTGGAAACAGCTCCCATATCTATCTACTCTCACAGAAGTGCAAGATTGGAATTGGGACTTGCAATTCCAGTGCAGCACCCTAAATGAAATGGTAGCAAATGTTTTTGCAAAATTAACATCAGGCTGCAGTTTACAAATAAAGTTTACACTTGAAAAAATCAACCACCTTTAGATTTATGTGGAAAACTATTATCAATGTATTAAATTGAATAAAACCTTTAAAAAAAAATCTCACATGACAGCATAACAGTGACTGCATTACTAAGTGCTGAACACTTGCAGAACAAAGATACGTCTGCAAGAGGCTTATCTAAATTATACATTATCCACATCTTTATTGATCAGGAATACCTTCTGATTACACATGAGCTAAAAGTTGGTAAAATTAGTGATTCATGATTGAGAGCCTCAGTTTGGAGCTTCTGAGCTTTGCACAAAAGTCTTTAAAATGAGTCTTGCTGCTGAGACATTAACAATATTGTTGTCTGAAACCAGAAGATCAGCTTCCATAATGTGTCTGAGGCCTGCAATAAGTACCATTTCAGTGCCATAGCTGAAAGTCTGTTAAGCAAGTGTTTCAGAGGCTGGAGTTTGAAAACATAAAAGTTGCCTTATATGACATGGATAGCATTATATATATATTGCTATATATGCTATATATTGCGTGAGTTTGGGTATCTTGCACTCTGTCTCAGTTCCCTACCTGTGTAATGGATGTTTTGTATCTATATATATCAATGTTCATGAATGAAAACTGATAAGCACTCTAGGAAGCGTCTTATGTGAATACCCTACACCAATGCTTTCAGTACTGTAAGAGTTGTTATTCTGACACCTTCACTTGCACCTATTTCACAGATGTTCAGAGGCTTTCAAAATACTGCACAAGATTAAAAGAATCCATTCCTATGAACAAAGCTAATCCAGTTCCCTTTTTATAGAAAAGAAATTGATTACAGCTATCTAAATCCTTGCCATCTTGAAACTGTTCACAGGCCGAGACCTGCTTTTTATCAAAACGTGACTTGTTCCAAGCCTCTGGAATGAGTGTTTGTCATTTTACATTTGATAATACTGCACTGCATGTTGGAAAACGATCAGCATACAAAACCCTCTGTGATAGGATTTATGAAGCAGGTATTTTCAGCACAGCAGCGGGAAGCAATAGCTCCAATTACTTAACAGTTACCAATTCAAAATGTGTTTTTTTCACAGGTTGTAAAAGACCATTTTCCCCTCTCATCGGGTGGGTAGAAAACAATCTGCAGTTTAGGACTGTAGCCAAAATTTAGATTTCAAGGAAGATTAGTCCAATTAGGATTTATGCCTGTGATAGTCTTCATACTTTAGTTTTACAAAGAATGAATTTATCAAACAGGAAGGTAAACTATGGTTCATTCTCATTTTTCCTTCTGATGATAGGTGCAGGTTACACCTAAACTAGAAGCTGTACCACTCTACTAGCATATATATATTACCTTAAAGGGTAAACTACTGATATAAAATACCTTTTAGCAGTTTGATTGCATCTGTATTGGAAGTTATACTGGTACAACTATTTCAGGGTTTTTTTAAATCAACCCAGTAATTGAGTTAATACACTTTTAAAAATGTATATAAAGAACAGGGGTTGAAATATTGTAACACAAAATCTTGGGAGTAACTTTTATCTGCCGTGAGAAAAGCATTTAAAAGTGTGCAGATGTCCGAGAGCTACTAAATCCTTGCGTGACTTCTAATTTTGTTTCTCTTAGAGCCATCCAAAAATCTGGATCTGCACAACACTTGCTGTATATAAAGGCCACTGTTAGTTCAGAAGGAACCTGAGCCTAGAAACATGGTCTATGCCCCTTCACTATTCATCTATCCCAGTTCAAAATACCATGGGCCTGATATCTCTGGTTGTACTACAGAATTTCTAAAGCATCTACAGAAGCAAGGCGTGGGAACTGCTGTGCAGCTGACACAATGACAATATGCATTTCTTGGGTGCTTTGGGAACTGATTGAGACCTGCCCTTGCTTCTTCTGCAGTTGGCTGCAATTCCCCCTGACCTCTCTGGCCATATTCAGACGAGCGTGGATGTGGAGTATGTGGCACCACAGACCTGTCTGTGGTGCTACACACTGCACATACATTCCCTGTCCTGCTACCTGGGAGCGCAGGAGGATTTTTTTTTTAAAAACCCACAATGAAAAAAGCAGGGCAGCACACATGGTGGCAGTGTGTGCTGCCCAAAACCGGAACCTGGCTGTCCAGACATACTCTGGCCCCTGGAGGACCCCAGATAAGGTTGCTGGGGCTTTCCCTACACCACCTGGGGTCACCTGCCATGTGCCAGAGCGTGCATGGCACTGGCATCCCTAGGGAAACAAACAGTCACGCTCATCAGGACACGCTCTCTGAGAACAGGACAGGTCTTCCTTGCCCACTACCTCTAGCTGCTTATCCTCAGAGCTGTTGAATTCAGCTGCCCCAAGGGCATGCTGAATTCAACAGGGAGTTTCAGCATGAGGAACAAGAAATTTGTGACTTGTTGATGGACACAATCAATCATCAGATTATGTATGATAACCATATAATTTTAGTTTTAGCACCAGAGCCATCTTGGAACTTAAGTCACTGTGGGGCAAAAACACAAGACATGGAAATAAGGAAGCAGATGAATTGAGTCCACTTTACAGATTAGCTAATGAAGAGATGGTGCCTCAACAGGAGTGAGTAATAACAGTAACAATGTTCAGACTCTGCCATATTCACAAGTAAGAGGAAAATGAAAGGAGAGTTTATTAGTTACCTGTTTTACTCATGCTATAATGCTAGGTTACCAGATCACACCACTGGGAAATTACTTCTTTTATGGTTATGAACTGCCCAGCCTTTTAATTTGCCCATGCTAGCCCAGATCATTGCCTTGCCGAACAGAACACCGGTTCCATTATCCCTTAATTAAAATCTGTTTCAAGTAGGGCCCTACACAGACAATGGCAAAAGTGAGAAAAAATCAAGGCAGAAGAGAAAAAAGGCTGAACTAGCTAAATAGCTTGATAGAAATATGCCACTTTACTTGGATTGCTAGGGGCCCCTGAACCGATGAATGAAAACGTAAGGTACATGCTCTTTATGCAGTCTGTAACCAGTTAACATTTCTTAAGTCAAGTGTCCCTCCGGTTAGGACCAAGTCTCGCTCCTCACGTGCTTGGTGCAGTCAAATAAAGCTTCAAATAAATCACTGGCCCTGAAACTTAAAGCATTGTGGGAACCTTCCTTTCCTTTTGGGCTTAATAGCAAAACTCATCTTACAACCTACAAACGTTAGAATCAATTGAAGTCCCCAGCGTCCTTTTCAAGAGCGGCTTTTACAGCCTTTTGCAAGCTGGAGTCCTCGGTTCACCAGAACAGCTTGCATACATTAACGCAGCGAACTTGGTAGGCATCTCAAGTTTCTTGCTGCCCTTAGTATTTTTTTAAGTGGGCAAGATGCATTCAATTCTGCCTGTATACAGGATGTCCTTTTCAACTTTCTCATCCAGCTGACATTAAATACTAGTAATAATTCAGTTATTTTACTATTCATTGCTAGTGAATAATAAGGAAGGCTAATTAAGGTGAATCTAGCTGTGATCCTCAGTGGAAGTGGGAGCATTACCATCCTCTAGAGTCCAGACTGACTTAAAAAGGAACAAACCCTACAGCCTACTCCTGCTGGAGTTGCCCTGCTTCCATGACGACTTGGCTTGCGGCAAGAGGAGGGCGGCCGGAGCAAGAATTCCTCCCAGGCAACAGCAGCAGCTCGTTTCAAACCTTCACTCCCAGCCAGTTACGGACTCAGCTCCTCGGCCGCAGATGTACAGC